TGATAATGATAATGATAATAATAATAATAATAATAATAATAATAATAATAATAATAATAATAATAATAATAATAATAATAATATATGGCTTTATATAGCGCAAATAAATGAGGTCTCTATGCGATCGGGACTAGATGTTGCGCGTTTTAATAATTTTCTCCTCCCCTGAGGGTCACTTCATGTCCTCTGCATATATATGTAGCACTTTCATCTGTTCACGACAAGTGCTGAGTGAAACAGTACACCGGGGTAACCCCCTACTTGAAAGATGTACTGGGTTCTTTAAAGTGCACATGAGCATTTGTTTACACTGGACCTACGGTTTATAGCCCTTATCCGAGAAGATTTGTTCCACCAACGCTGTCTTAGAACGATCTTCATTACTGGCTCTAATTTGCCAATACCCCAAAGCGAGGTCGAGAGTAGAAAAGTACTTTGCTCCGCTAGGTGCATCCAATGACTCTTCTCTCCTTCCTTGGCAATGGATAGGCATCTGATACGGTGTGTGCATTAAGTTGCCTGTAGTCAACATATCGACGTAGTCCACCATATTTCTTTCCGGTAAAAACGAAGGACTGTCCTTAACGTCTTTCTTGAGTAGTGTGTGTAAATGGTCTTTCAACTCCTAGAATAAATTAGGAGGGTCACGTCAAGACTCCTGCTTTATTGGGTGGGTATCCCCTGTAGGAATGGAGTGCGTTACCAAATCTGTTTCACCAAAATCGTCCTCAATTATTGAGAGAGCAGCTTTATAATCTTCCAGGAAATTTATGAATCGACGGCACTCCGATTGACAAAAATAGATCCAATCAAACACCTACCGGGACGGGCAGACTTTTAACTCCAGAAACAGTTTATTTATACTCACTTGAATTTCGTATACCATATTGATGTTAACTTCAAACGCGGGATCAAAGACTATTCTTTCTCTTCTCTTATTTCTCCTATTACCATAGGATCTGTAAATGTTTACATAAAATGAGTGAGGATTAGCTAGTCGTACTACCGATAATACATCATTCTCTACTTCACCGACTGTTCGTGCAAACACTATAATTTTTGAGAGTATAACGATCGATTAGCTATTTCCACCACCACACCAGTGTTCTACCTTCTAATTCTTGGAACAACTTCCGGAAATTAGTTTTTCGGTCCCAGCTTCCACCACAGTAGGTTATGAATTAGCTACTCGTAACAAAGAAGACCGAATTTCCGGCTTCTCAATGAAAATAGAATCTCTACATTTCGACATTTCATTCATGCCAATAGTAGCTATGTTTATTAAAATATTTAACGATTTACATTAGAACCAAAATACTTTGAATAGTATCATTAAAAATTTGTAAACTTAGTTAAACAATCTTGTCAGCAATTGAATCTCTTGCAAACTTAAGGCATACTGTCGCACAGATTCTCCTAGTTGCTGCTCTCTTTGGTATAGAGAGGCCATGAATTCTGAAGTTGTTAACTTTTCCCCATACACAGGCAACTAATGATCAAAAATATCACCTGCCGAAAGATTCCCAATATCGTCAGGCATTACTCTCACATCATCCTGTTTGTCTTCTGGGTCTTTAGGGTAATGAAAAAAACCTTCATCTCATGGAAAATTTCATTCACATTAGGCACCTTAGGTCCTGTTGCACCGGTGAAGATACGAATCGACCTGGTATCACTAAATGGTGTGTATGTCACCACCATTAAAATCACAAATCTCACTGCTGTTGTCACCAAAATGTAAGGCTGAAGCACTATAAGAATATTGAAAGGAATACGTCTGTATTTTGTAAAGGTTGAACTCAGAATGATTTTAATCGTTTTTCATAACCACAAAATCAGTAACATTAACGATAAATTTATGTTCAGTAAATACCCGTAATTAGGTCAATCAAACTTAAAAGTGACCACTACGAATTAGTTGAGGTACTACAAAATAATAATTTAGAGGCATAAAGCGTAAACATCGCCGTAGAACTTTATACATGAAAACAGAATAACAAACTACAGTCCAATCGTAAAACATGTCAGATGGTCAGCTTAAGCAAGTGGCCATGTTTGTCTACATTGGACGCAAACCTGTGGCAGATTATGTTACGTCATCAACTAGGTTTATAGTGCAGTAAGACGCCAACAACCCTTCACTGACGCGAGTCAATAAAAACCAGGAAGAAAAATTAATGCCTAATAAAATATGTTCACGATGATATAAAACCTAGTCAGGCATATAAAGCAATTAACTTAGGAAAATTAAAATACATTTGTTTTTCTTTTGTGGGGTTATCCCACTTTTATTTCTTCTCACATTTCATCATTACATAATTTACAATTACAAGGTTTTATGTTGTACCGTGAAATATCTAATATGAGTATTTACAGAGATAAAAATCATTTTTCTTTAAAACGGGTTAGTCCATCTTGATGGCTAACTATTATTTCTTTATAGTTATTTTCAATGCGTTCCTTTTATATGTATATTTTTCTGATTATATTCTACTAACCTTTTTTAATATAAATAATATACTGTACATACATACATATACATCGTACTCGCGTACATGCCAGGATGACAGGTACCTTACATTAATCAAATATTGATAAGAAATCCTAGGCATATGTCAACATACCAACATACATCCACACTCCCGTTAATATTTACATACACCCATTTTTTCAAATGAACTTAAAAATAATTTTTTCAACATCTTTGATAATACTTTCTGGTACCTCAAGAATACTTGCATTATAAATAAGCTTTGATAATGCAAGAGTTTTAAAGATCGTTATTCTACCAAAAACTGTTAGATTTCTTTTGTCCCATGTAGTTAATATTTTTTTCAGTGATTCAACTTTTTCTTTCCAATTCTTTTTGTAACAGAAGTCCTTGTCATGACCTACATGAATACCAAGAATTTTAATCGGTTTTGTTGTCCACGATAAATTACCTAGCTTTCTTTTACAGTCTTTTAATCTGCCTATCCACAAGGCATTTCTTTTCCCTTTATTTAATTCTAAACCATACCTTTTACCAAATTGTTCAATCACCTCAATGCTTTTGGTGATACTTTCTGTGTTTTTCAGAAATAATACCGTGTCATCTGCTAACTGTGCTATTTTAACACTTTCATCATTGTCTTTACCAGAAGGGATATCAATACCCTTAATTGCTTCAGTTGTTCTTATTTTCGTTGCGAGTATCTCGGCAACGAGTATGAAGAGAAGTGCTGAAAGTGGGCAGCCTTGCCTTATGCCTTGTTTCATAGTGAAGCTTTCTGACACCCAGCCAGAATTATTTAATACATTATCTGTATTTTTATATATTGTTTTTACCCATTTTATAAAAGAGTCTCCGAAGTTGAATTTACCTAAAGTTGCTATTAAACAACTTCTGTTAACCGTATCAAAAGCCTTTTTGAAATCGAGGCTTATTAGTGCTCCTTCTAATTGTTCATTATCCATGTAATTGATTATATCTTCTGTTAATGTTTTCGCCCCCAAACCGGCCATTTACGTAACATTTTTTATCATTATTAATAATTGATTGAATTGCAGTCTTTTTGTCAGTACAAATGTTGCAATTTTATAATCATAATTGAGTAAGGTAATCGGTCGCCAATTATTCAAATCATGATGATCTCATAAATGTCATAGGTGTCATAAATTAAAATTATGACACCTCTTCGTTGCGTGTTGGAGAATTGCTTGTCTATGTAACAGAAGTTTAGGGCGTCACAAACAATGTCATCAATAATATGCCAAAAGGTTTGGTAAAATTCAATCGTTAAGCCGTCGCACCCTGGTGCTTTATTCTTTTCACTTGCATGACGGCTTGTTTACATTCTAATAATGTCAGTTCGCCTTCACATATTAGTTTTTCATCTTCTGTGAGTTTCCTTAAATCAACATGTGATAAATATTTATTAATTGTTAAGTTTGAAATTTTTTTTACTAGCGTAAATGTAAGAAAAGAATTTAACTTGTTCTTCAAGTACCTCAAAGGTGTTTGAAGTAAAAGCACCGTCTTGTTTTTAAAGTAATTTAATGTTCTTTTTGTTGCTGTTATTTTTTTCGATGCCAAGAAAGTACTTTGTATTTTTTCCCCTTCTTCAATCCATTTTAATCTAGACCTAACTTGGGCCCCTTTTGCTTCTGTCATATATATGTTTCCAAGAATTTTTTGTTTTCTTCAAGTTTAATTTCAAGGTGCTTACTATTGTCTTGCAATATTAGATTATTTAATCTGTTGATTTCATTTTGAAGTTGTTTCTTTCTCTCATTCTTTTTTTTTATTTTTTGTTTTTCCAAATTTAATTGAAAATTCTATAATTCTAAATTATCTCTATTATCTCCCATTTATCCCGTGGGTTTAACTCTTCAGTCCTGGCTTGATTAACAATGTATGTAATATTTTTAATATTCTTTATCTTCCAGGTGTTTATTACTCAATTTCCATAGGCCTGGCCCTCTTTTTATTATTATTTATGAGATTAAACGAGACGGGCTGGTGATCAGTGAGAATTGATGGTCTTATGTCACATGAGTAAAAAGATTGTATTAGATATTGAGAGATAAACATATAATCTAGTCTTCTATATGTTTGAGTTGATTTTCTAAGCCATGTAAAATGAGTCCTTGTGGGATTAAGTGCCCTCCATGCATCAATTACATTAACATTTTTCATAAAGTTCATTAATGTATATATTGAATTGTCTGCTTTACTGCCATTTTGGTCTAAATTTTTGTTTAAAACACAATTCATATCTACAAATATGATGATGTTACTATCCTCATTAACTATAAAGTTCTTAATAATATTGTTTAACTTTCTATAAAAAAAAAAAGACTTCGTTCACTTGCAGTATTTGGTGCATATACATTAACAAGCACAAATGACGATATGTCTATTGTGATGCTTATAATGACAAATCTACCATTTTCATCAATATGTGTTTTATTAACCTTATAGGTATCACAATCCTTAATCAGAGTTGAAACTCCTCTTGAGTAAGAAGATCCAAAGCTATGATACGCATGACCTTTCCAAAGATATTCATATTGATTTATTTTATCACGGGTCAAGTGCGTTTCTTGAATGAAAAATATATCAACTTTATTGTCATTTGCCCATTTGAAAATACATTTCTGCTTATGCTTCTCTCTTAATCCTCTAGCATTGAGAGACAAGAAGTGAATGTTAGGTGTCATTTAATAAATTAATATATAAGTATATAAGTATATATAAGTGTAATAAATAATAAGTATCTATCAATTTTGTTTGTTTACTTATTTGTTTATTTTTATTTGTTTATTTATTTTTTTTTTATCCCTAATTACGTCCAACAGAGTATTGGTTGTAAACATCAGTTTTATATGTATCTGTAAGTCAGACATAGATAACAGATTGCTGTAAGTAAGACTAAATTTGCCTGGACAGTTAAGATCGTCACACAAACGCCTATCAATAATTAATAATAATATTCATGCTATTGTTTACGGTCAACCGTGACAACGTACAGTACTTGTATAGTGCATTTAAGGACATGTTTCGTGATCGGTGAATCGGGGTCATCATTATTATTATTACTATTTTTATGAATGTGATTTATCGAGATCATTGTATTTAGCATGAGTTTATCAAGGAATGAATATTTTACTATTGCTTTTCTTCTTACTTTTACTTGATTTTCTTCTTCTCTTGGTTCCACGCTGGATTGGAGAGACAACGTTCGCTGCATCTTCTTCTATATTTTTATCTGTAGAGTTCTTTTCCGATTTTGATTGTTCGATGGTATCTGGTTTCACTAAAGGGATAACTACACCAGAGGTCCCAAGTCTCCTGGATATCGGGGCGGCCTCCCGCACTTCCGCAAGCAAGCAAGATTGCCCTGGCTATAAGATATAATAGAATAGACAGTATTCTCTTTCATGCATTTTATACTTCAACAACAAATAAATACAAGATAAACTAATTCAGTGTTCTTAGCATTTTTAATAGTCTCTTGACAATCTGTCTCTTATACACATCTAGATGTGTATAAGAGACAGGTGTGGACGGCTCTTACTCTATGTAACTTGCTTCTCCCGTAAAGGTCTCTATGTGTCTGAGCTACCCGGTAAACGAACTGGTACCCAGCTACACTCTTCAGTAGGGGCTAAATGGACCAGTATTCCAGGGTAAACCCCCTACTAGTCTCGAAAGTAATTACACTGGACCTATGGTTTATAGTCCTTATCCGTGAAGAACTGTTTCACAACCAGAACCTACAGTGGGCGTAGATTTAATCCTTGAAAAAATTACCCGTGGTCCTGCAAGGCCCGAAGGAAATTTTTGAATGCATTAAATCCTGTCTCTTATACACATCTAGATGTGTATAAGAGACAGGAACTATCGCATGTGGCTAACAAAACATGTTAATTTAGTCGCAGTGCTATTTCAAGTTCATTTTAAGAATACGAAATAATATACAACAGAAAAGGCAAAAATATAAATTACAAAAACATTTTTCTTCAAACTTTTGAAATGAATTGGGGCATATCTAAAGTATTGCCTTTAATTATTTATGTGCCCTACTCATATGTAACATATTTAGGCCTACCATGTTGTTCATCTCAGAATCGTGACTGTACGGAAGTGAAGCAATTTTCGAGTGGAAACAGTGGCGTTTATGATGTCAAACCCTGCCCATCATGCTCGCCCCGCAAAGTGTATTGTGACATGGAGACTGACGAACAGGGCTGGACAGTGAGTTCATACAAGTATTCATTTATTGAGCAGCCTTCAAACAGTTAGCCCACAAAATATGATGCATATGCCTATACCTGTCCTAAAAAGAACAAAAAAGTCAACAACCCGTTCCTTGTACCACATTGGCCTCATTTTTTCTGTATGGAGTCACTTTTGTTTTATTTTACCACAGTTATTCATGTGAATTATTGCCAACGCAAAAATATTTATGTAGGCCTATTGGTAACACTGATCACTTACTACTATCAAACTATATAAATTTGTAACCTACACTAAAAATAGGCTCCCAGCGACAGCGTGTTTCTACTGCTTGACCAGTTTTCTTTTTTGGCTACTTTTAACTCATCCATGCTTTATGTTGGCAATTTACTTGAATATACGGTACAAGTAACAGATTGTTGACTTTTTAGTTCTTTCTAGGACAGGTCTTATCTAGCTTGCCATTATATTTCGTAAACTTACTTTTTATTTTTATCTTTAGCTTATGAACCATCTCATCATTTATCCACCGGATTTATTCTTACAAAAACCAAGTGTTTAAATCTTAAATTTTACAATAATCATATCCTCATAGAAGGTATCATATTTTTTATAAATGCTTTAAAAACCATGTAAATACACTCGGTTTACCAGTGAACATAATTAAATGTTAAATATTATTATAGGTCCTCCAACGCAGACGAGACGACTCCGTCGATTTTAACCGAACGTGGGAAGAATATACTGACGGATTTGGGGACGTGTGCAATGAATTTTGGATTGGAAACGAGTTCATTCACAAGATAACGTCATCGGCAGTACACGAGCTGCGAATAGATTTAATTGATTATGATGATAACCATGACTATGTCACGTACGATTACTTCAGAATTGAAAGCGAATCTGACAAATACAGATTGCGTCTCGGAAATTACATAAATTCGCAATCGAACATTCGTAAGTGTTGTACGCCTATTATTTCATTTACAAGGGCGGATTTAGGGGGCGCCCCTCCCCCCTTTGCGGCGGTAAAAATAAAAAGAAAGAAACAACAAACAAACATTTCGATCAAAAGTTTTAAGTAAAATGGGGTAAATCTTCTGTTTATGGTTTTTTTGCAACACATTCTTAGAGTAGACGCTGCTAATGTTTTATCAAAGTCAGTATTACATATTGTGATCTGTGGGGTAGTTTGTACGCCATAAGTGTAGCCTAGATTCACAAAGCATGTGCACGTAAAATCCAGAAACAAATGTCAGGCATTATGAAGTATGCCTACTAATATAATCTTACAAATTGCTTATCATTTCAGCTGATTCGCTAAGAAATCAGGATAACTGTCAATTTTCAACAAAAGGTAAAGACAACGATAACCTTGGTGATGGCAGAAGTTGTGCTGATGATTATTTTGGTGGTGGTTTCACAAATGCAGTCATGCTAATTTGAACGGTAATGTGTTTTCTACAGAGGTACCAAACGCTGATACTTCTCAAGGAATAACGTGGTTTATAAACACATCGACCAGAAGACAGTACAGATTTTCAGAAATGAAAATTCGAAGCATTGGAACATTCTAGATGTAGGCCTATGTGCCTCACGCATCCGAGGCGTACTTTTAAAAAAAGAAACACACATCTACAAAACAAAGTAACTTGAATAATAAGCAATCAGTAGGCTAGAGCTGCACATAGTACACTATAGGGAAATTATTATACAAAGGTATAAGGAAATTTTTGAATGCATTAAATCAAACCTTATGTATAATAATTTTCCGATAGTGTACGATATATGCAGTTCTACTAATTACAAGTCAATCATCGTCCTTTAATGTTAGTTTTGATTGGTTTTGATAATCAAATATTGTACTGTAGCCGTCATCGGTTGCTATAGTGATATGATCTGTATACTGTATGCGTATTTACATTTAGCTGTTTATTCTCCCACAGTACGCTTAACACACAACAGCGACGTTAAGCCCATTCCCGGCAAAAAAATGCATAGAAAAAATTACTTTAATTATTATAAACCATGGAAAATGTTGGCATAAATTTTATTTTTACGCAAAAAGGATAAAAAAATGACAAATAGAGACTATTTCTCATGGGAAAATACATTTTCTCGACGACTTCTTGTTACTAGGCATATTCACTTTTATGCTGTATACCGTACTTTATACAGTCAATAGCCCTCCTAATGAGATTATTTTTGTACTTCGCATCTCGCACACTGCGGTCAATCGAGTAGGCCTGAGATACGTTTGTTTAATTGTCAAAATCTCGGCGAGAATTGTTACAATATTGTACTGTTATGACCACTTAAAAGCGCAATACATAAATGTGTTGCTTGCTGAATAATGGATATCGAAGTACATAAGCGTAGTCCGTGCATTGTTACCATCTTCACATCGTTTTTTTTTAAACATATTTGAAATAATTTTAAGGAAATATTATATTTTAGATGTGTCACTACTAGCAACGGAATTTTTATGTCTGATAACAAGAGTAAAATCGAGGTAAGACTAGGCCTAGCCTAGCATGCAGTGTTGGATAGGTTAATGTTTCCGGTGCCTACTATCTTGGCAGACCTATCGCAAAATCAACCATTTTTTATTTTTAGTGTGGAACAAAAAAAAAATAAATAAAATTTCAGTCTTATTTTACATTTTTTTTTCATGTTTAGGAATCTCTAAATTCAGTTAAACTACCATTTCGTATTGTTTATAAATCTTTATAACATACTGTATATAACAATCAGATTTTTCTTAACAACTGAAATTTTGCCGGTAATGGGACTTTAATTAAGCTCTGTCTACACTATAAAATTTGATGTGACAAAAAAATGTGATGTGCCCACTTTATATGGGCACGATGACGTCATATCACATAGGCCCTACAGGGGTATGTAATTTCAAATTGTATCAAAACATTTTCAACTTTTTTATGTCGTCCGTCAAGTAATTGTCTTTTTTTTTTTTAGAGAACACATTTTGACCAATAAGCAAACACTACAAAGCACACCAACCAATCGGATTTAATTTTTTTTTCAACAGACATCACATTTTTGAGGTGACGCTTTTTTGATTAAATTTGATAGAGTAATAGACAGAGTTTGGTTACATCAGTAGTACACTGATGCGATGAATAATTATTTATTGTGTTTGAAGAACGTATAATGTTATTTTACACTCGTCAAAGAAATAAGCATTCCTTGAAGGATATACAGTAATCAATTTTTTTGGTCTGTGCCGAGACGTAAAATCGTGTTATGATTTCATATCTAGGCTACGATCTAGGCCTCGGCCTTCTGCTTAGCTAGACATCCAATTTAATTTTTTGATAAAATAGGTATAGAATATTCCTATAGTATTAAAGGTTCAGTCTCTTTAGTTTATAAAGGGTCCATTGATTCAAGGAATTCCTTAAATTCATACTTAATATTGAATTTGAAGTAACTTTCTTCTAATCAATCTAAATTTCAATTACCACTTGTCAACAAACGACGACTGGGCGAGTGACGTGTCTGCCCTGTCTATCCGCAGGCGCACGTCGTAGTGCTGAGTGTAAAAACACTAGCGTAGGTGATATACGATTTGAATTGGCACACGAGCTTAAAAAAGATCAAACCAATGCGTACACTACGTGAAAAATAGTGGACTGTTATGGATAGTCAAATAACACTGGTAGTTGCAATGATTACGTCACAATTGACTTATATAATAAATATTAGCGTTGATAATAACAGGCCTAATAATGATTATTATGATACTGAGAATATTGATAATGATAAAATAATAATACCACACATATTTGTGTACATATTATAAAAACCCAATGCACATTTTGTACAACTTTACTGCTGTGATGTTGTACTACATAAAAATCATAGATCTCATCATAGAAATATTTCATTTTCTTATCACAATCATGTATATATCTGTCTCTTATACACATCTAGATGTGTATAAGAGACAGGGCCACACACGTGTGTTTAAAACTAAATATAAGCATTTTCAT